TATCAGGGACCCAAGATAGCTGCTGCAATTCTAGGAAACACAGTCTTACACAACCATATCCAAGGAGAAAAAAACCTGCTTTTTCCTCTGTGCCTCTTCAAGGAAATAAGAAATCTTTTCCATAGCCCAATAGGAAACTTCACCTTCACCTCATCTTCTAAATTATGTCACAAGCTCATGACTAACGACTCACTGGCAAAGATAACGGGAGAAGAAAATAAAGTAGGTATTAGTTACATGAGACTTAACTGTTTGCACCGTCTATTTCAAATTATTACCGGAAACCATCCCTTTACCCAAAAGAAAAAAAAAAGGCATTTATTCTGTTCTAGCTTTGTTAAACTATAACTGATATACAAAAATTGTACACATTTGGCCGGGCGTGGTGGCTCAGGCCTGTAATCCTAGCACTTTAGGAGGTCAAGGAAGGCAGATCACTTGAGGTCAGGAGTTCGAGACCAGCCTGGCCAATGTGGCGAAACCTTGTCTCTACTAAAAATACAAAAATTAGCCAGACATTGTGGCATGTGCCTGTAATCCCAGCTACTTGGGAGATGGGGGCAGGATAATCCCTTGAACCTGGGAGGCAGAGGTTGCAGTGAGCCAAGATCACATCAGTGCACTCCAGCCTGTGGGACAAGAGCCAAACTCCATCTTAAAATAAATAAACAAATAAATAAATAAATAAATAAAATTGTGCACATTTAACATACACATCTTGATGAATTAGGTCATATGCATATACCAGTGATACCATCACCACCACATCACAATGATGAATATATTTAGTATATAGATACTAAATATATAGATACTAAATATATTCATCAGCTCCAAAATATTTCCATGCATTGTTTTTGTAGGAACACTTTACATGAGATCTATCCTTTTAAGACATATTACAGTGTACAATATTGTGTTGTTATCTATAGGTACTATGTTGTACAGCAGGTCTCTAGAACGAATGCATCTTGCAAAACAGAGACTTTATACCCATTGAGGAGCAATTCTTCATTTCCATCAACCCTCACACCAAGTCTCGGGCAACCATCATTCCATCCTCTGCTTCTGTGAGTTTGACTGTTTTCAACACCACACATAGGTAGAATAAGGAAGAGCAATTTATTTCTTTTAATTTAGTCTGTCCATCCTACCACCTGCTCTAGTAAATTGACCTTACATGAGGAAAATAGCCTAATCGTGTCTATGGATGAGTGTAATATTTATAATCTAACAAGTGTAGTTTAAGTATAGTTTGGTTAAATGTTAAGGTTATTGTTAGAATAGCAACTTTTACTTTTGCCAGAGTGCATAAAAGAATTATAAGCCTCTGTACGACTTGATAAGCTGTTCAGTTTAAATAAATAATCTCATAATAGCCTGGTGCGCATTGGAGGACTAGGGCTTTTGAGTCGAAACCCTTCTAAAAGCTTTCAATGAATAGAGGTAGGAATCTAGTAATATCTTAATGCCACCTGTTAGAATATATTACTTATTCAGACAACATATTTTTTAAGCCAACAAAAAAAATTTGTGATGATTAAATCTAAGTTGGGTTACTCTTTGTGTGGGAAGTATAATTATATGAAATTTATTGATGTTCATACAATAGAATGACCATCTCAAGCTTCTCCTTCTCACTAATCCAGCGCCTACAAAAAATCCTTCACTTGTCTTGGTAACATTGATAGTAATGCATTCTTTAGATATAAACATGTGAAGCAGGAATCTTGGAAATAGCATTGGCTAGAGAATTGAGATCACACTTCGGACATCACCTTTGCCATAGACTGTGCAAATTGGGTAATTCACTTCTCTGTGATGTAGTGACCTCATCTATGATGTGTAGTTACTTGCCTGGGTATACTTTTCAAGTTCCATAACCTGAATTTTCATTCAGAAAATAAGTGATTCTGATTCCTAGTATTTAAATGTTTACAAATGATCCATTTGGGTTCATTTTAAACCTTCATCTTTTTTCCTTTCAAGTAAACAGTACTTTTGTATTTTGGTATTTTTATATAACACCATTCATGACCTAGTATTTTAGTAAATGCAGGCTTTTTGGATGATGATTACGTTATGAAGTTGAGTAGGATGATGATGGTGCTAGTTTGGTCCAAAGATTATATTTTATCCCAGTGAGATGCAGTTTTATAAAGAAAATAGTGTTTTATTTCTGCTGCACCCTTGTTAAATGTTTAAACTTCTAATAAATAATACTTCCTTATGTTTTCAAACTTGTGAGAATTAATTATTTTGTTCCAAATGTGGAAGAGCTGTTGAATACCATTAAATAGATTGCTAAACGATTATATAGTACAGTGGGAAAATCTTAGAAATATACCATGTTTTATAGTCACAGACTTTAGTATTTCAAGACTCAGAGTCTCTTATTTAATAAATAAGATAATTAGTAAATTTCTTAAATTCAAAGTTGTTTTATATTTATTTATTTATTTATTTATTTTGAGACGGAGTCTCACTCTGTTGCCCAGGCTGGAGTGCAGTGGCATGATCTTGGCTCACTGCAACATTCTCCACCCAGGTTCAAGCGATTCTTATGCCTCCCTCCCAAGTAGCTGGGATTACAGGTGCCTGCCACCACACCTCGCTAATTTTTGAATTTTAGTAGAGGCGGGATTTCACCATGTTGGCAAGACTGGTCTTGAACTCCTGACCTCAAGTGATCCACCCACCTCCGCCTCCCAAAATGCTGGGATTACAGGCATGAGTCACACCACCAGACCCAAAGTTTTAAATCTTAATTGCTTATTGTAGGAAACTTCCTTGATACAGACATTTAGCATAAATATCTGTTGCTATTTAGGTCACTGCCACATTAGAGGAAGCTTAATGACAGATCTATTTCAAAAATTGTTGCTTAGAACACCTTTTCTTCTAGGGCTAGGAAAATCCATATATGTTCCTATATTTGTTTTTAGGGCTGTCGTATCAAATTATCACAACTTCCTGGCTTAAAACAACAGAAATTTATTTTCTCAATTTTCTGGGGGCCAATGGTCAAAAGGTAAGGTGTTGGTCATAAGTTAAGCCTCCCTCAGTTAAGCTTCCCTCTGAAGTCTCCATGGGGAGGGCCTTGCTTGTTTCTTCCATCTTCTAGTGGCATCAGGAATCTCCTATGGCTGTATCACTCCACTCTTCAGGACCTTCTCCTCTGTGTGTGATGTCTCCGGTCTGTGTTATCTTTCTCTTCCTTCTGATAATGACTTTTAAGGGTTTGCCATTTAATTTAGGGCCAGATAATTCAGGATGATCTCATCTCAAAATCCTCAACTTCATTACATCTGCAAACATCCTTTTTCCAAATAAGGTCACATTGCAGGTTACGAGATTAGAACATGGACATATATTTTGAGGGGCTACCATTCAACCCACTATAGTTCTGCTCATTTGTGTCCCAAAGAACCTTCTTTGGCCTATTATGCTACCTGTGTTTTCTGAGAGACAGAGCCCAAATTATAATCATATTTGTATTCCTAGTGTCTAAAACATTTCCTGACACATAAGCAATTCATGACATGTATCTATTCAATGAATTAATTTATTACAGTACCTATAGCCTGAAAGTTACATCTTGGGTTAAATCTCTCTCTCTCTTCCCCCCCACCCCACCCCGTTCCTCTCTCTGTCTATAAAGTGTAATAATTAAGACAGCACAGTGAAAAGTTTAATGTAAAGGAGCCAATTCACACTTTTATTTCTTGTTAGAATTTGAGAAATGTGTATTAGTATATTATAATCCTGAATCTGTCTTTAGCTGGGGGCTTATCTATTGTGGCTTCTTATTTTATTTATAAAATAAAAGAATTAATCTAGATAACCTTTTCAATCCATTTAAGCTCATAAAAAATGACCTAGTTTCAATTCTGTTTCTAAGCCTGGTTTGACACTTTATATCTACATAACAATGGGCAAGTTTCATAACATTTTTAAGCCTCAGTTTTCTCATCCATAAAATGCAGATTGTCATCCCTACTTTATAGGAATATAAGAATTAAATTATATATATATATAATATGTAGCGTAATTCCTGACACTAAGAAAGCAGCACATTATTGTGAGCTTTTAATAGTGATTGTTATCCCTGTCATACAATAGTTTATTTTCTGATAGCAAGTTATATTTAGGATACATGGAGTTCAGAGATATAATTGTACATCAATATTTAACTTCTTTCTGGTCATTAGCTAAAATTTGTTAAGGAAATAAAGACCCCTTTTTTGGACCACATATCAAAACTTTATTTAAATTAATTTTGAAATATTTAATTGAAAAAATAGAGATTGTATAGATTTAAGGTATGCAATGTGATGATTTGATATACTTTGTGTAATGACGCATATCAAATTAATTACCTATGCTGTTCATTAGATCCGCTGAACGTGTTCATCTTATACTTAAAGATTGTTCCCTTTGACCAACATCTCCCCATGTTCCTCACCCCCCAATCTTACCTTTATATAGTGCCTTCTTCAAGAAAATAGCTTTTGAATCAAAGTACATTCTTGATTCTTTAATGAGTATTACCTAAGATTTGATAAAAGAAAAACTTCATCCGAACTAAATTTAAATGAGTTTAATTGATAAATGAATGATCTGTGAATCGGGCAGCCCCCAGAATCACAGCAGATTCACAGAGACTCCAGCACAGTCACATGGTGGAAGATTTATAGACAAAGGGAAATGAAGTACAGAAATCAGCAGTGAGGTACAGAAACAGGTGGATTTTGAACACCTAACAGTCTATGAATGGTTGAACCATGGCCGTTGGGATTGCCCAAAACTCAGGTATTGTTACAGATACCTATTCCTAAATTAGGTTTTCAATCTTGTCTATTAAGCTAGGTTACAGTTCATCCACAAGGACTCAAATATGGAAGAACGGAGTCCTTCTCATGCCATATTTAGCTTTCTTTAACAGTTTGAATTGGAAAACAGTTCTGGTATATTATGTTTTATTATTTCTATTTTTGCAGGGGCCATAAAGGGAATTGATGAGGACAACTGACCTCCCAATATGTGGATTCAGTTTCTGTATGTCAATTTACCAACTCCCACTGGTAGTCTGAAGAGATATGGCTACTGGAGAACAGAAAATCACCATTATTCATAAAAAGCAATTTTAAGTGTTTATCTTTTTGTATTTGAATAGCTTTGTTAAAGAGACGTACTCAAGAATACTATGAAGAGACTCTTATTATACTCCTTACCTGGAGATAATTGTGATGCCAGAAATTCAAATTTATATTCAACAATATGGTTTTTCAACTTTGAATATTATAAACATCTAGGCAGTATTTATTGTTTGCACATTTGCCATCCACTAAAATGAGATTATTCTAAGCATAAATTATACTCTTCATCATTCAAGATTATAAACATTTATAATAATCATACTATTCACAGACATTTCCCTGCTCTCAAATCACTAGAGCTAATAGACAAAGTAGATACAGCTACAAACAGTGGGAGCAAATGTTTCTGGCTGACCTACAAATAGCTATGCAATAATGTAGAGAGGAAAATATAGTCTCACTTATAGTGTCTGAAATTGAGTTTCCTCTTTAAAGGACAAAGTAATTTTCAAAAATATTTGAATATTATTCTGTGTAAAAAAGTCTCTGTTTTAACCGGCTTATTGAATTGTATTTCTTTATTGTGTTTGTATTCACTTTTCCATTTGTGGGTGGAATTTATTATAATTGCCAATTATATACTGAATGAAACAAAAATCTCATAGATTTATTTTAATAAAACTTTAAATTCCTTGTCATTACTAATAAAATGTATATGCTTTCTCTAATAAGGCCATAGTTTATTGTTTAAAACTTGTTTTTCCTCTTTGCTCAAGCACATGGATTGTTAATTTAAATTCTAAAATAAAACCAATTAATCCATAAACATGGACTGTGGGTAATGTTGATATTACGTGTAAATTTCTCAGTGGTATTTCGTGGACCCAATAGCATCAGCATTAGCTGGGGACTTATGAGGTGGCATGTGCCTGTAGTCCCAGCTACTTAGGAGGCTGAGGCAGGAGAATCGCTTGAACCTGGGAGGTGGAGGTTGGAGTGACCGAGATCGTGCCACTGCACTCCAGCCTGGGCAATAGAGCGAGACTCTGTCTTAAAAAAATAATTAAAATAAAATGAAATAAAATTTGCAAATTTATGGGAACTACCCCACCCCAGGCCTATTGAAACAAAAAGTCTATAGGTATGGTTTAGCAATCTGTCTTTCAACAAGCCATTCTGGGCAACTCTAATGCATGCTAAAGTTTGAGAACCACTGGTCTGTGGCTTTCCAGGATACTCAGGTGCTGTACTATCTTATTCCCTACAGGGAACATCTTTGTTCAAGTGTGGAAGTATGCACACAATGTGTAAAGAGGTGGGTTGAATCTTTCTACAAATATTTTAAATAAGTCACCTGCCTCATATATTTTGACTAGATTATTTAGATATTTGGATCCGTACTGACCCTTACCCCTACCTCTGATTTACAGATAAGAAATTCCTACCCTATTTTATTATGTGTTGTGTTTGGCCCATTGGTGATTTTTTTTCTCAGACTCAATTTTAATTATTTGTTGCAATCTAAAATTGGGGGCCTTATCTTAATAGTTAATCTAATTTTGAAGATATACTATAGGATAGGAAGTATGCCTGATTCTTTTACATAAATTTGGTATCAGTGATGCCTCAAAATAGTTCTTCACATTAACTATCATTATTTTTGTAGCTTTAATGCATTAAAACTTACTCAGTATAAAAGCCACCTACTTAAAATGTACAACTCAAAAATTTTCAGTAAATTAATAAAGTTGTGAAGCCATGACCACAGTGCAATTTTAACACATTTCCATTGTGCCAAAAAGATCCCTCATGCTCAATTCCAACCAGTTCCCACTGCCACCCCCAGTATCAGACATGACAATCTGCTGTCTCTACATCTCAGGACATTTAATGTAAATACAATTATATAATATGTGGTCTTTGTGTCTGACTTCTTTCACTTATGTTTTTTGAAGTTTATCCATGTAGCTTGTATCAACCTTTTGTTCCTTCTAATTTTGTTGAATAACATTTTGTTTATCCATTAATTAATGTATGGGCATTAGTGATATTTTCAGTTTTAGGTTCTTATGAATAATGTCTCTATGAATATTTGCATGCAATTCTGTAAGAATGCATATTTGAAATTTTTTTTGAGTAGTAGAACTATTGCAATATATGGTAAGTTTATGTCTAACTTCATGAGAAACTGCCAAACCATTTTCCAAGGTGGCTGTACATTCTCACCAGCAATGTATACATGTTTCAATTTCTCCACATGGTCTTCAATACTTTTTATAGTCTATCATTTGATTATAGCCATTCTATGGATATAAAATTATCACAGTGGCTTTAATTTGCATTTTACTAATGATTAATGGTAATTAACATTTCATAGGCTCATTAGTCATTTGCTTATACCTACTTAAATATTTAACCCATTTTTAGAATTGGTTGTTGATTATCTTATTATATAGTTCTATAAGTTATTTATACAGTCTGAATAAATGTTCACTACCAGACATAATTTTTACAAATATTTTCTATCAGATTGTGTTATTTTTAATTTTCCAACGTGGTCCTTAGAAGCACCAGTGTTTTTAATTTTGATGAAGTATAATTTAACCATGACCATTCTTTTATAGATTTTGATTTTAGTGTGTCCAGAAACTGTTGGCTAACCTCAAATCATGAAGATTTCCCCTCATGTTTTCTTCTGAAAAGTTTATAGTTTGGGTGCTTACATTTAGATCTATGATTTAATTTGACTTATTTTTGTATATGCTGCAAGGTGACAGTCTATTCGCTTTCTGTGTGTCTAATTCTTTTGTAGTCTTCTAGTCTTGTTTTATTATTTCTTGTGGGTTAAGTAGAATTTTTCTAGTGTACTACTTTTAATTCCTTTGATGTTTTCTTGTTTCATTGTTTTTATTTGTTTTGTGTTTAATATTTTAAGTTATATCCTTTTTAAAAATTATGTTTAATAGAAATAAAATTGTATATACTTATGTACAGTATGCTGTTTTTTGAAATACGTATATATTATGGATATGTATACAATGGCTAAACTGAGCTAATTAGCATAGGTGTTACCTCACATATCATTTTTTGTGGTAAGAATATTTAAAACTCCTCTCTTAGCATTTTTTCAAGAATACAATACAGTATTAATTAACTGTTGTCACCACATTGTACAATAAATCTCTTGAATTTATTTTTTGTAACTAACTGAAATTTTATATTCACTTGGCCAACATCTCCCCAACCACACCCACCCCCCAGCTCCTGGTAACCATCATTTACCCTCTACTTTGATGAGTTCAACTTTTGTAGGTTTCACATACAAGTGAGATCATGAGGTATTCGTCTGTCTGTGCCTGGCTTACTTCATGTAACACAATGTTCTCTGGGATCATTTATGTTTTCATAAAGGAAAAAAATTCCTTTTAAGAAAAAATAAAATACTATTCTGATGTTGTATTTATGTCACATTTTCTTTATCAATTCACTTTTTGCTGTACACCTAGGTTGGTTAACATTGTCTTTTAATAAAGGATCTATTTCTTATCACCAGCTGCCATCTCCATCCCCAAAGTGTCTGATAAGTGTCTAATCATCCTTCAAATCCTAGCTTGAAGCATGGTAAGGCAGACTTTATTCAACACTATCACGACAGTTGTAGGGACCACTGTCTTGGAGTCTTGCAGTGGGAGTGAGAGGCTGGGTTCAACTCTAAACATAGCATGGATCAATGAGGGTTTGCAGCCAAGAAGCTGGATGGGGTCAGAGGATGGAAATTGCTAAAAGGAAGTATTGGGAGAAAGGGGAGGTCTTGCTAAGCCAACCGGACTGGATTACTGCTGAATACAGGCCAGGGTGATCAGACGTGGGAGATGGTGGAGGTTTAGAAACCTGATAAGATATGTCAAGGATTGGAGTTCTTTAAATTTACTTAGCAGAGTTCTTTGTTAATAAACTGATTTCGCAGTGTTCTTTGTTAAACCTAGTTCTTACAAGGAAGTGCACTGATGGGCCTAGAGGAAGGCTCATGAACCTGATGACAATTTAGTCAAGCAAAGAATCTTTGTCAGCCTCCATCCTTCTTCAAGGAAAGAAGATACATTCTTACTTCCTTTGAAAAATGTAAGTCTATGTTCTTGTTGGGTTGTCTTTTGTTTATAAAGAACCAGTTGAGTCATCTGTTGGAACTTGGTAGTAGAGTACTTTAAAGGAAAGTAAAATAAAATTTAAATTTTAAAAAAAATTTAAAAATTAAAAACCTTTTGCTGAAGGAAACGGGACATCTCAGTGATAAATATCCCAATGTATTACTGAGAATAAGACTGATTTTGTGGGAAAATTAAGCAAGCTGTTCCAGTTTTTAAAATCTGGATCTGAAATCTATGTTGAAAATTCTGTTTCTGGATCTAGTTTGAGGCACTAAGGATAGCATCAATTGTGCTAAAATTGAAGCAAGAACAAACATCAAACATCAGATTTATGGAGAAGCTTGTGTGGAAGAATGGCGAAATCACTGATATGTTACAGAAATTTTATGGGGACAATATCCCAAAGAAATCAGTAGCACTCTACAAATGGATAACTATTTTTTAAATTATTATTATACTTTAAGTTCTAGGGTACATGTGCACAACGTGCAGGTTTGTTACATAGGTATACATGTGCCTTGGTGGTTTGCTGCACCCATCAATTCATCATTTACATTAGGTATTTCTCCTAATGTTATCCCTCCTCCAGCCCCCCACACACCGACAGGCCTCAGTGTGTGATGTTCCCCGCCCTGTGCCCAAGTGTTCTCACTGTTCAGTTCCCACCTATGAGTGAGAACATGCAGTGTTTGGTTTTCTGTCCTTGTGATAGTTTGCTGAGAATGATGGTTTCCAGCTTCATCCATGTTCCTGCACAGGACATGAACTCATCCTATTTTATGGCTGCATAGTATGCCATGGTGTATATGTGCCACATTTTCGTAATCCAGTCTAACACTGATGGAACATTTGGGTTGGTTCCAAGTCTTTGCTATTGTGAATAGTGCCACAGTAAACATACATGTGCATGTGTCTTTATAGATGCATGATTTAAAATCCTTTGGGTATATACCCAGTAATGGGATCACTGGGGAAAATGGTATTTCTGGTCCTAGATCCTTAAGGAATCGCCACACTGTCTTCCACAATGGTTGAACTAATTTACACTCCCACCAACAGTGTAAAAGCATTCCTATTTCCCCACATCCTCTTCAGCATCTGTTGTTTCCTGACTTTTTAATGATCGCCATTCTATCGAGCAAGAGATGGTATCTCATCGTGGTTTTGATTTGCATTTCTCTGATAAGCATCTTTTCATGTGTCTGTTGTCTGCATAAATGCAGATATAAAGATGTTCTTTGAAACCAATGCAAAAAAAGATACAACGTACCAGAAT